CCCGTCGAGGCACATGCGATCATTCAAGAACATGGTTGTTTTACATGGGTACTTTGGCCCAATGAGATGCATCCTCACGACCTTGAGGGGATGAGCGTTAGATTGGTTTCACCAACTCCCCTCGGGGTCGGTGAAAGATTTTGAGGATTTCTCGGAGATGTTGTTGAAATAGTATGCACGTGCTATAGCTCAGGAGAAGACTTATCTCACTCTGATGGAAATGAGGCAAAAGAGGAAGAATCATTGAGGAAGTACATTGCTCGATATAATCAAGCGTGCGTGGAGATTCGGTCGGCCTCGGACGAGGTCAAGGTTGGCGGTCTGATAAGGAGTCTACAGGCTGGGCCTTGTCGAAATTCATTGGCCAAGACACCACCTCGAATGTCTGGTGAGGTCCTTAAGAGGTGTGAAAAATATGTCAACTTGGAGGAAACAGAGGAAGAGTTTGCTAAACTAGAATAGTTGGCTCGACTTGAGTCAAAAAAAGAAAGAGCTCACTCGCCTCGACGCGACAAGCATGGTTAGTTGGAAGGTGGTTGGGGAGAAGATCGATGGAAGGATCCACCACTTTTGCATGGGAAAAGGTATACCAAATACACTCCGTTGAGGATGCAAATGATGGAGGTACTTAAAACAATAGAGAGAGAATTGGATGGTCGAGACGTCACTTGGCCGAGGTTGCGGAGTGGGGGGCCCACTCAACCCAAATCAGGTCGATATTGCAGATTTTATAAGCATTATGGTCATACCACAAAAAGTTGCAGGCATTTAAAGGATGAGATCAAGCGCTTGCTCAGGGCTGGACACTTGAAGGAGTTCGTGTATCATGACAGACCGAGGAGAAAGGAAAAAAGAACGTGTAGGGAGGACTCGACCGAAAGGAGTGACAATGATGAGGATGGGGATAGAGATGATGATGTAGGAAGAGGTGGTCGACGTGGGAACAGAGGTAAGAAGAGGAGAGAGAGGATGGAGGTCAAGAGGGCCAAGGGGACGTTGTCTCACTGAAGAAAGACACTATTTATATGATTTCTAGAGGACCGACTGATGGTGACTCCTATAATACTAGGAAGGAATATGTTCGGGAGGACAAAAGGAAGATAGATGAGGTTTTAGTTATGGCTTGGATTCTTGTGATCAGCTTTTAAGCTAAGGTTGTAGAAGGAGTTCTCGTGCCTCACCATGATCCCCTGGTCATAACGGCCGCAGTGACAAGGTATGATGTCAAGCGAGTATTTATGGACACGGGTAGCTCGATCGATGTGATGTTTTATGATTGTTTCAGGCAGTTGGATTTGATTTTGGAGTTGAAGGAAGTAGTGACATCTCTATATGGATTCAACAGAAACGAGATGGTTCTTATGGAGGAGATTACTCTATCAGTCGCCCTTGGGTCGGGTGTGACTCGTAAGGTCAAAATGGTGCGCTTTGTTGTGGTTGGTGCTGAGTTGTCACAGAACATTATCTTGGGAAGGATCAGCCTGAATGCTTTCCGGGTTGTAGTTTTGACTTATCATATGACGGTCAAATATTCGGTTGGAGAAAATTTGGGGGACATTGCTAGCGACTAGTTGCCCTCGAGGAGTTGTTATTAGACCAATGTAGGCAATAATAAACGGATGGCCAGGAGAGCGAGTATGTGGAAGAGGTGCCAGATCAACCAAGTGGGTCTAGGTCGAAGGAGGAGAGGTCAAAACTAGATAAGGGGAATGAGAAAGTGGATATTTAGCCTGGAGGGGAGATCGAAGAGATCAAGATGATTGAAGGGCGAAAGGAGAGAAAATTCAGGAGTGGGATAGAGCTAGGAGATCCATTGAGGTTGGAGCTGATAAGGATGATAAGGGAGTATGTGGATATTTTTTCATACACGGTGAGGAAACTCACAGGAATTGGGGCCAGTGTCATCGAGCACAGACTTAATATCGACCTCATTATGAGGGCGGTGAGGAAGAAGAGGAGACATCATGGCGCTAAGATAGATAAGATGATTGAGCAAGAGGTCGAGAAGCTCTTGAAGGCAGGTCATATTATTGAGATACAGTTCCCATAATGGTTGTCTAACACGGTGATGGTGTCAAAGAGTGAGGGGAAATGGAGAATGTGCATCGACTTTTGGGATCTCATTAAGGCTTGCCCCAAGGACCATTACCCGTTACCTCAGATCGATCAATTGGTCGACTCGACTGCAGGATGTGAGCTATTAAACCAATGAATGCATCTCAGGGATATCATCAAATTCCTCTAGCTCGAGAGGATAGGAAGATAGTGAGTTTTATCACAAGCCGATGCACTTATTGCTATTTGGTGATGCCTTTCGAGCTGAAGAATACATGGGAAACATATCAGAGGTTGGCGGATAAGATATTCAAGGAGCATCTAGGTCGAAATATGAAGGTCTATGTTTATGAAATGCTGGTGAAAAGCAAGAAGGAGAACGACCATGTCGGGGATTCAAGGGAGACATTCACCACATTAAGGAAGTATGGTATGCAGTTAAATCCATCCAAGTGTTCCTTTGGAGTAAAGTCTGGAAAATTTCTTGGGTATATAGTGACCAAGTGGGGGATAGAGGTGAACCCCGAAAAGGTTCGACCAGTGGTCAAGATGAGGGCTCCTAAGAGCGTAAAAGAGGTGGTAATCTTAACATGTCGAATTGCTGGGTAAAGTCATTTTATCTCGAAGGTTGCAGAAAAGAGCAACATGTTATTCAGAACCTTGAGGAAGCACTCAAAATTCAACTAGTGGAAGGAGGCCAAGCAGGCTTTTGAGGAGTTGCAGAAGGTTTTGGCTAATCTACTTCTGTTAGCCAAGCCAGTTCAAGAGGAGGACTTGGTCCTTTACATCTCGATAGGTGTTGTGGCAATAAGTTTGGTGTTGGTAAGAGAGGAAGGTATGGCTCAATTCCTTATCTATTATATGAGTAAAGTGATGCAAGGAGCTGAAATGAGGTACTTAAAAATCGAGAAGTGTGCGATAGCTATGGTGATCACAGTTAGAAAATTGAGGCCTTATCTTTTAAACCACAAGGTGAAAGTCAGGACGAGCATGCCGTTAGGGGAGACGCTGGGTCGACCTTCTGTATCGGGTCGACTGGTGAAATAGGCGTGGAGCTGAGCGAGTATTACATTTCCTACGAACCTCGGAGGGTAATCAAGGCCCAGGTTCTAGCCGATTTTATCCAGGAAGAAACCAAGGTTGAGGTTGAATCTGAAGAAAGATGGCAGTTGTATGTGGATGGTTCAATTTCGAATGGTGGAGCAGGTTTAGGGATCGTGCTTATCTCACCTTAAGGAGATAATTTGGAGTTCGTGACCAAATTGAGATCCAGAGTGTCCAATAATGAGGAGGAGTATGAAGCTGTGGTCAAAGTCTTGCAATTGGCCTTAGCTAGAGGAGCTCGAGAGATATAAGTACAATCCGAATTTCCAGTTAGTGGTGGGGAAATTTCAAGAAGGTTTTGAGGTGAAATAGGATAGGATGTAGAAGTACGTGGATGAAATGAAAATATTGCAAGGGGAGTTTGGTTACTTCGAGCTGATTCAAATACCAATGGAGAAAATGGTCGGGCTGATCTGCTGTTAAAGATAGCCCAGAATTTGGTCGATTGCAAAAGTCGGAATGTAACCTTGTTGCATATGGAAAAAAGCGCGGTTGAGGTCGAGGTGGCGGAAATCCAAGAAGTGGAACATGGGAGGGCCCCCATTTTGCAGGAATTGAAGGAAAAGAGCCTGAGGTCGATAAAAAGGTTTTTCAAGCAAAGGGGTTCTCTAAGAGGTCGTATTCTGTACCACATCTGAGGTGTGTGATTGAAGCAGAAGGGAAGTATGTGTTGAAGGAGGTGCACAAAGGATACTGTAGTGATCATTTATGATCACAATAAGGTGGGGGCTTTGGTAGCGAAAATCCTTCGAGCAGGATATTTTTGGCCAAGAATGAGAGCGAATGCAGCAACTATGGTGAAGAGGTGCTTACAGTGTCAGAAACATGGATCACTTATCCACCAACCAGCGGAGACAGTGACCACAATGAGAACTCTGATTCCCTTTGCTCAGTGTGGAGTTCACTTGGTGGGGCCTATGCCACAATGACCACTATGTTTTTGAGAATGTGTGGAGCAAAAGCATAGCCCTAAAATCCAATGTTCCAACACAGACTGAAGACGATGAGGATTCTGAGGATGAGCCTTTTAATGCTGAAAGTAATGCTAAGGCATTGAGTGTTCTTATACGAAACTTCTCTCGGTTGAAGAATCGGAAAAACAAGTTTGGGAAGAAGCATGTTCTTATACCAATCAACAGTCTCATGAACGACTTTCCAGCACGTAGTCTTAAAACAATCCAAATTAGAATCAAGGTGTTGAAAAGGACCAATGTCGTGAGTGCGAATGGTTTGGGCACATTCAAGTTGACTGTCCAAATTTCAAGAGGAAAAATAAAAATCAAGCCATGTGGGATGATGATGATGATAACGCAGAACAAGCAGAAGGTTCTGAGTATTCCAATAATTTTGCTAGATATCCTCTCAACGATTTCACGCATTACACTTTCTATGTCCATCTCACTGATGTCGACTCTAACATGGGGTCTTAAACGTGTGTTGGAAGCAAATTTGATGACAATCCAGAAAAATTCAGAGACCCTACCGAGAAATATCTTTCTATTAGATGGAGATGCTTTAATTTTTTCAGAAATTCTATGGAGCCATTGGATGATTTTTCTATGAAGTCATCTATCACTTAATGTATTGACACATGTCTAAAGTGTCAATACACTATCTGTGATTAATTAATGTATTGACATATGTTCAAAGTGTCAATACACTATCTGTGATTAAGTATGGATGGCTGCGACTCTGTGATTAAGTATGGATGGCTGCGACTGTAGAAGAACTGTTAATATTTTATTTTTCTTTTCCCATTCTTCGAAAACAGTAGAGGTAGTCAAGACCCCACGAGGCCACAACCAAACTCCGCACGACTTTTCTCCTCGCATAGTCGCATCCAATCTCTATCTCTATCTCTATCTCTATCTCTATCCTCATCCGCCTTTGCAGAAACAACCTCACCTCGCCGCTGATACTAACCTGCCCAATTTTGCAGCACCCATTAGATTTGAACTCCCGACGTTAAAATAAAATAATTTATCTATTTTCATTACAAGTCTTTGTAATTCAGTCAAAATCTCTCTCCATTTCGCAGGCTGCCCTTAGAAATCTCACTGGAGATCGATCTCTGCCGTTTTCTTCTTATCCTGAATTTGTGAGCAACTGATAGTCCGCTGCTAAATACGAAAGACTGACCAGTGGATGAATAATCATACATCCACTACAAAGTTCCTGTTTTTTATCTCCTCAATCATAGCACAAATGGCCCCTCTGAGATACTTCTCCTTCTAGCACAACCCAGAAAATTACCGCCGATTTTGGGTAACTGTTTTTCCGCCATGAATGAGTCCACCGTCTCCGGCGACTCTTCTTCCGGAAATCCGACAACCCCTCAGAAACCATCTCTCAAGAGGAAGCGCAATCTCCCCGGAATGCCAGGTGCAGATAAATTCCATAAACCAGCTGGAAAAAGTATCATCTTTTATTATAATAGGTCTTCTTCTCCTTACTTGTTTTCCTTACATTACTTAAAAATATAAATAAAAATTGCCAGATCCTGATGCGGAGGTGGTTGCTCTATCGCCCAAAACTTTGCTGGCCACAAACAGATTCGTGTGCGAAATCTGCAATAAGGGTTTCCAGCGAGACCAGAACTTGCAGCTCCACCGTCGCGGCCACAATCTGCCGTGGAAGCTCCGGCAAAGGTCCGGCAAGGACGTCAAGAAACGGGTCTACATCTGCCCCGAGCCCGGCTGCGTCCACCACGACCCGGCCCGGGCCCTCGGCGACCTGACGGGTATCAAGAAGCATTTTTGCCGGAAGCACGGCGAGAAAAAGTGGAAATGCGAAAAGTGCTCCAAGAAATACGCCGTCCAGTCCGACTGGAAAGCCCATTTAAAGATTTGTGGAACCCGAGAGTACAGATGCGATTGCGGGACTCTGTTTTCCAGGTAGCATTTTTTTTTTCTCTTTTTTTTTTCCCTTTTCTTTGTTTTGATGATTTTGTGTGAATTTGTGTTCAGTGATGTGTTGGTAAATTTTGCAGGAGGGATTGTTTTACTACGCACAGGGCGTTTTGTGATGCCTTGGCAGAGGAAAGCTCGAAAGCCCAGACAACTGAGGTGCCCTCGAGTCCTGCAGAAGATGAAAGTAAGAGTAAATCTGTCGATGCTGTTAAGTCGGCTTCATCATCTCCTCCACCGTCCACCGCAATTCCTGTGTTGTCCTCTGTTTTGCCGGTTAGAAGTCCAGGTAGTTTGACTATTGATTAGATCTTTTGGGTTCCAGAGAAAATTTTTTATCTTATCTGTCCCTAATCTTGGATTTTAGTTGTTTTTTGTCTGTTACCGGAATTTGTTTTGATCTGCTTAAAAATCTAAGCTAGCTGATCTAGATTCATATAAAAAACTAGTTGCAACTATGATATATTTTATGAACCTAGAGTTTTCATGGAGCGCTGTAAGATAAAGTTGATATTTAATAATTATTACAATCCACGAAAAGGCAAATATTTAGGTAAAGCTACAATAGGTTCAAGATCCAAAAAGCTAGCTAATAATAAGATCAAATTCCATAATAGTTCTTCTTTTCACTTCCTTCAAACCTCTTATCATTATATTAACTGCCCGTTGTCATTTTCTTCTAATAAGTCAAATCATTCCCTAGTTTTCATTCTACTCGTTATGATGATGATACCCTATCAACAGAATCGCCCAAAGTGACGAACCCAAATCCATCGACTGCACAGAATATCTCGGAAATCCCTACCATAGCAAGTATTAAAGCAAGCTGCAGTAGCACTACTTCTTGCAGCAATGGAAGCTCCACCACCGGCAATGTGTTCTCCACAACTTTTGCTCCATCCGCAACTTCCGGAAGCTTCAATTCTTCTCAATCAACCGGTTTTTGCCTCTCCATGAATGAGGGTTCGTCAATTTTCGAGCGCCGGCAGTACGCCCCAGCCCCGCAGCCTGCCGCCATGTCAGCAACTGCGCTGCTGCAGAAGGCTGCTCAGATGGGCCCAAAATCAAACTCGTCTCTTCTAATGGGCCTGGGCGTGATTTCCAGCGCTGACGGGCCTGGGGGGCATGGGCCCGAACCCGACGGAGGTCTGAGTCTGGGGCTAGAGTGCGATGGTGGGTCGGGCCTGAAGGAGTTGATGCTGGGAACTCCTTCGGTGTTTGGGCCTGAACGGGCCACACTTGACCTACTGGGCCTGGGGATGGCGGCGATGACATCCATTGATGTTGCCATGCCTTTTGGCAGTGGGGAATATGGTGGCCAAGATATGAAATGAATATTGGGACAGATGTTGGAAAGTAGAATATATAGTTTTTGTTTAGGGATGGTCTTGTATTGATGTTTGCTTGTGTAAGGATATCTGTTTTTGTACCAGGAGTGCGTGTATTTATACTTTATAGGAGGTGAAGGCAGGAAAAAGGGGATTACAGTGTCTCGTTTGATGCTGTCTGGCTGTCATCATGTGGAAAGTGGTGGTGGCCGGTGGCCCTGCTTTTTCTCCCGGAGTTAAATATGACCATTTGTATTTGTAATATGTTGGCCAATTGATTGATATAATGTGAAATAGTTGGTTAGAACTCTTGGGAACAAGTCAATTATTGAAATAATCATCGCAATGTCTTTCATAAGACGGAAAAAGCATGTGATTTGATCAATTTATGCGCGTGTGAATCTCTGATTTCGTTGTTGAGCATGTTGAATGGGTTTCTAGTTCCCCAGCGTGCCATGAAGTTGTGTTTGTTAAACCCGACCTGATTTCAAGTGTCCAATCCTGCAAGTCTAGTGGACTGTAATAGAATTGGACACCATATTGTTTAGATAAAATAATTACTTTCATGCTAAAATGTGAATTGTGAAAGCATGTAATCTATCTATTTATATTATCTATATTCTATCTATATATGTTCTATATTATTATAAAAGATACACTATTATAAAGGAAGAATGATTTTGTAAAAAATTGCATGGACTAAAATATTTTATATAATTTTAATGACAAGAATGTACATATAAATACATTTTTAATAGTTAAATATTTTAATCCAAAACTGTGGAGGAATGGGAGTCTCTACAGAGGGAACTAGATCAGTGACGGATCCAGGAATTTTAACGAGGGGGGTCCAACTAATAATAACAAAAAAGAAATACATCAAGTATAAAAATAAATAAACTAGTACAAGTACCAACTAAATAAACATAATACATATGTCCGAGTATTCAAGAAAATAACTTACAATAACATTGAGAGATCACAACATTTCTCTTCTATTTTTCATGTTTTGAAATCGTTGCATGATAGCCTCATTGCTAACGTTCCGAAATATATCTTTCTCGATGTATGGCACTAAAATAAATGTGTGATAAAATATGTGATAAAAATTAGAATATGTGATAAAATATTTGTGAAAGCTAAAATAGTACAACAATCAAATATTCAAATACACACTAAATAAATTCACCTACAAATACCTTTGAAGAAAAAATATTTTGACACGAACAATCAATACTCGTATGAATTAGCAATCCAAATGAACAAAGGAAACAATTAATCACAAATAAGTTTTTCAACACAACAATAATAATAATAATAATAATAATAATAATAATAATAATAATAATAATAATGTTTGTCCCATTTTTGTTACGTTATTCGTGTCTATTTTCTCTTTCTTTTTCCCCATTTTGAGTCATTTAGATGGTTTTAGGATCATTTTGTCATTTATTATGTGTTTTGCGTTCATTTGAGTGTTGCGATGTTTTCCGTTTGTTTTCTGGTCTTTTTCTGTTCTCTTTTCGTTTTTGGTGTGTAGTTTGAAGACCTCGGGAGAATAGGTTTTCGAGAATCTTGTGGGGAAGCTGACACCATTAGATAGAGGGGTTCGTTAGCGACACGTAGGAAAAAACGAAACTCAATTCTGAGTTAAAACGAACCCGAACGAGCAAAAATCGTAAGATGGTGCAGTGCAGATTTTGGTCTCCGCGGCCGCGACCCTTTTCTTCGCCGCGGCCGCGGCGAAGAAAAGCTGCCAAGTCCCAAATTTCAGCAATGAAAATCCCGCGGCCGCGGAGCAAGTCGCGGCCGCGGAGGTCACGATTCAGCCTTTAAAAACCTGTTTCGGCGATTTTTGACAAGGGGGGAGAAAGGGGAGCAATTGGGTGCGAACCCTAGCTCGAAAAACCTCTTCTCCACTCTCCATCTTCTTCTTCTTCTTTTTCTTTTCTTCTCCTCTTCTCCATCTTTCTTCTCCATTTTTCTTTCTTTTTTCTTTCTTTTCCATTTTAGGGATTAAGCTTGTATTTTGGATTCAACTTTCGAATTGGATTGATTGTAAGTATTTTTCATCTCGTTTAATTCATGATAATGATTATTTTGGGTGAATTGCTTTATTGTGTTGAATTCATGCTACTTAGCTAAATCTTATTGCTAGGGATATGGGATGATTGTTCTCGTTTAACGTGTACTTGTCGGGCTTGATTCGTTTGTTCTTGTGCGAGTAAATTTAATTAGGACTTGAGAATTCTTGCTTGATGATTTGATATAACCTAAGAGTGACACTTAGGTTAATTTATTGATATAATCGAAGAGTGACACTTCGATTTTGCGCTTGAATATTGATTTGTTGAGTTAGGGTTTATTGATCCTACACGATTAGTTGATTAAACATCTTCTAATTGAACTAGCGACTTTTAGAACCGAAAGGAGAGAAGTCGTAGACCTAGGCTCGCATGAGATAGATGATTTCGTAACTGAATAATCTATGGGTTTTGGATTGAAATACATGCTTGTCGGTGTCTTGTCCCTTGTTACGAAAAGTTATTGGGATTGGATACTTGGCCGGTATTGTATGCTCAAACTTGCTCGTCTATGTTCAATTCCTTGTTACGAAGAGTTATTGGGAGTGAACTGCTAGACGTGTGTTGACATCAAAATAAAATACTTCGATGTTACAATACAATTAAAGAAGTCGCGAAGATTAGTGCATAAATTAGATTCTAGACGACGTCGAGCAATACATTCAGCATCTCGGTAACCATACCTCGGTGCCAATAGGAGATCACGGATATTTGGAAGGTCATCCACACAAGTCATCAGAACTTCGAAGAAGGCCAATTCGGTCAAAGAATTATTTATTAAGAAGTCGCAGAATATCGGAGATTAATCAAGATGCCGACATCACAAGAAAAACCGACTTCGATCCGACAGATGTGACACTCGTCACATCGATAGAGGCGCGCCCATGCTAATCATTGCCTACAAGGTTCTCCTACGTCATCGCCGCCCCTAAGATGTCAAATCTTCATTAAAATGGGAATGATTTGTCTAGGGATGTGTGCCAAACATACCTATAAATAGCGGTTCCGAAAACGAGAGAAGGGTTCGAAAAATCATCATATACGCTCTTATATTCACCTCGGATATCTCATCGTAAACCGACTTGAAATTCATAAAAAACCGACCTTCTTGTATAAAAACCGACTTCGAAATATTCAATAAAAGTCTCATTTTCTACAATCTTTTGTGTTAATCTTACATTGTGAACGTTGATCAAATCCGTTTATCAACATTTTGGCGCTAGAAGGAGGGCTCCATAAGATATTTGGAGTTAATTTTCGGAATATACACACCACATATTACAAAATCAAGAATGTCACAATCCGGACAAGACAATCCAACCACCATGGGAAGCGCTGTTCGTGTTGTTGAACCACCAACCGGTCAACACAACCCAATACCAGTTATGCCGGACATTACCCTGCTCATGCAAAATCCGGAATTCGCTCGTGGACTCACTGCTTTGGTGGCCCAAACCCTGCCGGGGCCATCACACAGAGCACCAGGACAACCTTTTGCTCCCATAACTCCGGCGAAACAACCAGGTCTTCCCCTACCAAGGGATAACAATAATCAAGCGGCGTCCCACGCTACTTCACAACCACGCAATCCGCCCCCTCCGCCGGTGAACAACGTACAGCCGGTGGAAATGAATCAACCAGAAATGAATCAACCAGAAATGGTTGCTGAAAGTCACCCTCGACAAGTTGAAAGTTACCCTCAGCATATGCCCAGAGTTCCCCGTGCGGCACGTTCATTATTTCAACCAAACGAGCACCCGGCTGACCTGAGAGCGCAAATTGAGCGTAATCGTTCCGCTCGACGTAACGCTTCCGAAGTCGAGGCGTTAAGAAGAAAGGTGGCAGAGCTTGAAGCCCGGCGAAACACTCAAATCAGACCTTATCAGCATCCTCACGTGCCAGAATCGGGCCATATTTATATGGAAGTCGGTTCTCCTCTAGCAACCGAGTTAACTAGAGGGCCGTTACCAGGAAAAGTCAAAGTCCCCCAAATTGGTCTCTACGACGGAAACGCGGATCCTGATGCCCACCTCGGACATTACACGTCATGGATGGACTTGCATGGTGCTGACGATGCTTTACGATGTCGTATGTTTTCCTTAACCTTAGGTCCCAAAGCTCAGAAGTGGTACTATTCGCTACCGCCTGAATCAATCAGGTGTTGGGGCCAACTCAGGTCGGCTTTCAGGTCCCATTTCATCGGGGCTCAAATCAGTTTGATACCTAAGGAATCTATTACGAACATAGTCCAAAAAGAGGATGAAAGTTTAAAGGACTATATTGCACGTTTTAATGAACGCGTGCAAAACATGGAACCTTGTCATCCTGAGACACTTCTTGTCTCAGCAATCTCTGGATTAAAGCCAAGATCCATGTTCCGCTGGGCGCTGTGTCAGAACAAACCCAACACCTTTCAAGAGTTCCTTGTTCGCGCTCAACAACACGTTATTGCTGAAGAATCCATGTCGGTTCCCAACTTTGAATTCTCCTCATCAAAAGAGCAGAAGCCAACTTCTGAAAATAAGAAAAAGAAATACCTCGGTCACTCATCTAAGAATTCACCCCCCAAAGACCCGTATAAAATAGAGCAGAGCGACACCGACATAAAAGCTGCTAGGAGACAATACAAGGAAGATCTAACCGCAGGTTACCGATCCATCTACTCGGTCGGTGCAGCAACAGTGTATCAAGAGATCAAGGGAAAAGGTATCCTTCCTGAAGCCAGACCCGTCAAGACTCCCGAAAGTCAATTGGACAAGTCGCGGTATTGTGATTATCACCGATCTCCAGGTCACAATACCGATGAATGCCTGAGTCTATTGTCGGCTCTCCTAAGGTTGATTGGAAATCCGCAAGTGCGAAAATTTACCAAACATGAAAGCAAAGAAAGGAAACAAATAGCTCATGTTCCTGACCGAGATGAAGATGACGAAGACGTGATGAATCCCAAAAGGATTCGTCTACAACAAGGAGAGAAGGAAATATTCATGATCGGGGCAGAAAGATCCAGGTCGGTTGACGACCGACTCGGAAAAAGAAACAGGGACTGCGATAGCCCCAACTCTAACCGCACTCCTCAAATCCCAATTCGGTTAGGCTCTGTCCCCCGAGTTAACACTAATCGAGATGAGCCGACGTCCTCACGTCGGCAGGCCAAAGCATACGCCAGGAAGGCATACAACTCGGGGAAACAAATAATGAATACCGATCTTCGGGAAACCATCAACACGCGCACGTGTCCGATCACTTTCACATTAGAAGATGCGAGCTTGTTTGATCATCCTCATTCAGACGCATTAAT